GAGCGGGCAGGGCGGCGGGCGGGCCATCTGCGCGGAGACTGACAGCGGCCCCGGAAGGTCAGCGCCCCGACGATTGCTGTCTGAACAGCAGGCCGCCCAGGCCTCCCAGCAACACAGGGACATCTGCTCCCCTTAATTTAGAGCACTGGTTCCGATTTCAGCGGAGCCCTCGCTCCTCGCCGACCTCGCTCCGGGGAGGGGGACGGGACCTGGAGGGGCTGAGCAGACGTGCCGCCCGCCTCCCAGCTCCCCCGATCGGGGTTGGGGCGGAGGTGGGGGGAGCGAGCCGCTGAGTCTGGCCTTGCGGGGAAGGGGGGTCACTCACGTGACCCGGGTGACGTCGTGCGGGAGAGGGGCGGCTCGGCTGAGTGGGCGCGCGCGGGTGCATGCCGTGTGTGCAGAAGGGCTGGACCCGGATCCCGCCCTGCGAGGAGGGGTCGGGCTTCCCCGCGGCCCCCCACCTCCTCCAGGCAGGCGGATTTGGGGCTCTCCCACCCCGGCGGGGAAAACCAGTGAATGTGCAGGGAAGTTCGTTGCAAGTAGAATGAGGGATCCGGCTCTGCTCTTCCTCGCGCAGATCCCTGGACCGGCAGTTTCAAAGCCAGCCGTCGGCGGGTGAGGCCAGCATCCTTCCTGGACGGTTGACAGCTGAACTCATCCTGCCTTTTCTGCTTCATGTTTGGGCGAAAAGATGGAAGGATGAAAGAGCTCTTCCGCTAAGTAAATTTAGTTGTGACTTCATTACCCTTTACTCTCAAAGTGAGGAGTGGAATAGCTGTGTATCAGGGTTCAGAAATTTCGCCCACAGTCCATTTTCCAAGATGGATTTAGTAGCCAGGAGCTAAGTTCCTTGGCAACGAGCTTGTGATCCCCAAAACCACACTGTTTAAAACAATAGAGACCTATTTACAAGAAAAAGTAAATAGGATCTTGCCTTGTTTGTTGCAGCTTAATTTGACCATGAGAAAAACAGTACTGGATTCTTAGAAGAAACATTTTCAGGGGCTGTATGTAAAAGTACAGTGGGAAAATCCACATTGTTTTAAAGTTGCACTTAAACTACCCAGCCCCAAAGAAAGCTGCTTCTGGAAATCAGAGGGACTCTGAAAATGAGTGTAGAAATGGTTTCCTACCCACGTGTATAATATGAACAGGTTTCCTCCTTCAACTGTTTATTTTCTGCAAAGGACGTTAACTTGGGCAGTTTGCTAGACTGGAATGTTCGGAGGAAACCTGTTTCCAGATATAATCTCTAGTGCGATTCACAAAAGCTTTACACTTTGAAACAGGAAACAAAGGGCATACTTTTCAAATTTTGGCTCTGTACATAGATGGAATCCCGATGCCCAGAACGGTGCTTGGCTCAAATATCCTGACATCACTTAACTCTTACAAGGGGTCACTACTTAGGGATCAGCACTACTTAGGGATTGCTAGAGATCAAAAGATTTTCTATTAAGAAGATGCTTTTAAAGCAACATCCAGTTTTCGACCTGGAGTGTGCATTAGGTACCTCTTGGGCACCACCTCAGTGCCTTTGGGCATCTATTGTCCATTATTCCATCCACTGATGTGGGCTCTGAGCAGCGTCCTGTAGGGGCAACCTGACAGAGTCTTGCCTCGTGCCCATGCCTCACACTTCTGCTGAAGCTTCCAGAATCCGCCCTGGAGCTTCTCGGAGCCACATGGGGCCCATGCATGGACAAGCCCAGAAATGCAGGGGAGTAAGTTTGGGGGCAAAGCTTTGACCAATGGCGTGTAAGCAACAATGGATAAATGCATTCCTTTCTTCCCCCAGATGCACACTCCCGTGGCATCTTTCATGCAATTCCTCCGGCAGCCAGGAAGGAGCCAGCAGCCTTTCACCAGGAGCTGTGGCCAGCCTCCTAACTCACCCTGTGTTGGCTTTCCATCCTTCTCTGCCTCATACTTCCTTCCCTTCCTCCTCCTCCCTGGATCGTACTCCTCAGTAAAGTACTTGCACTAAAGGCTTTGTCTCGGGATCTGCCGTCTGGGAGACCCAGGCTAAGTCCCAGTCATTTTTAACATTATTTTTTACCTACTGGGATTACAGTGTCTCAGCTGTCTTCAGACCCCCTCACCTCAATCCATGTTCCAAATGCAAAAGAATTTAGCCTTTTCGCTATGTGAGTCTCCACCTAGTTACTGTGTTTCTGAAACAGTGAAGGGGGTTGCTTCTCACCTTGCTTTGGATACAGCGAGGGTCAGCGAGAGTGCTACATCACGGCTGTCTTTGCTTAGGCCACAGCGGGACCCGGACTGAAGTTTGTAGCCCACATGTGGCAACTGCCCATCAACTCTGGCCTTCCACTTTTGTCTACCAACATTAACCCAGCTCTGTTTAACTTTTCTGATCTGTATTCTTAACTTCTAATTTTTTTGTTTGTTCATGTTATCCTGCTCTATTTATGGATTTGGGGGCTAGAAATAAGCAAAGATTAATGGATATAAGTCAGCCTTAAAAAAAAGTCATATGGCCTAAATCACACATAATACTCTTCCCACGCAACAGAGGTTTAAAAAAGTGATTAGAAAATCATGACTTTAAAAAATAACCATGGAGAAACTGTGTTGTCTTCATGTGAAACCATTCATTGCTTTCTTGAATGGCTAATAAGTCCTCTAGATTCATCCCTGCCTTCTTTTAGGGATGTGCTGCAGGGGGTACAGTTTTTACGGGGGCTGTGGTCAGGGGCATGCCGGGACGTTACCTCCAAAGTAAGAGACAGATTTTTGCATCTTACACTTGCCAACATAAAGACTGAAGCACAAAACCTGATGAGTGCGTTTGAGTTCTGGAAGCAGCGTATTCCACATCTGGGAATCCTGCTTCAACCAGAACACTGTTCAAAGGTTAACAGCTTTGAGACAGGATCCAAGAAAGAGGGGACACAGCATCAGGTCTGCTGTGGTCCAGGCAGCCACTGCAGCCAACGGTCCTGCTGGTGTTAGAGGTACCAGTGGTGGGAAAAGATGCCTCTCAGAGCTTTTGAGATGCCCTAGTGGGAAAACCCCAGGGAAGACACCCAGGATTTCGGAGCAAGGTTGTGGCATCTGCAGTAGAGAATTCTACAACTTTAACAATGGCTCTGGCACACCATGGGGGCCTAGTAAAGACAGGGCACCTGCCATCAGACACCAGCTGACCACGTAGCCAAAGCAGTTTATCCTTACTGGGCTCTGTCAGAACCACCATGTCATCCTTGTGAGCTGGACTTGTACCTCTGGGATTAAGCACAAGCC